ATAATAATAATAATAATAATAATAATAATAATAATAATAATAATAATGCTCTGATGGTCATTTTGAAAAGTCCTTTCTTAGTGAGCACCTAGAAGCCAAGAGGAACATATGTGCCAAATTTCAAGTTTGTAGGCTTTACGATTCTGGAGATTTTGCGATGTGCGAGTGGTATTTCGCTTTTATATATATAGATTATTTCCGCTGAAGGATTTGTAGGCCACCTTGAAAAATGGAAGGTTTCCCAAGATGCTTTTCAAGACTGGTATGCATCCTAAGTTAGGGTTAGGACTCCTATCAGAGTTACTTTCATTTATGAAAGTTGATGTTTAGTGCTATAGCAGAGACATATGATATGGGCACATTATTATCTGAGAAAGATACCAGCAAAGTGTTTTTATACTACAGTAGAACCTCACGGCTCACGAACGATTCTGACTGCGACCAAATCGGGTGCCGGCCGTAAAAATCTGCTAAATGTTTCACTCTGGTTGCAAACAAATCCTCGGGTGGTAATCAAACACAGATGCAGCGATTTTCCCTGCTGTGGCGATTTCCCCTTCTGCGCCATTTCCCCCCCCTACACGCATGTGCAGTCAATCTTGCTTCCGGTCATGACCAAATCAGGTTGAAAGCAAAATCCTGGAACGGATTATAGTTGTGACCAGAGGTTCCACACTATTGTCAAGAAATCTATCTGGATTGAGCCATGGTGGCGCAGTGGTAAGACTGCAGTACTGCACGTTACTTCTGCTGACAGCCGGCTGACTGCAATTTGACAGTTCAAATCTCACCAGGCTCAAGGTTGACTCAACCTTCCATCCTCCCCAGGTGGGTAAAAAAAAACTTTTGCCTGAGCAAATTGCAGCACTCGGCTCTCTTTGGCTGATCAGAGAAAGCTTGAGAGGTTAGATCTTGTTAGAACTTGAATGGGAGGTCTCAAGAACTCCCAAAGGTGTGATCTCATCTGGAAAATTGAATCTCTAAAGAAGGCAACGGTAGATCTTTTCCATTAAATAAACCACACGGACACAGAGCCTTAAATCATCCTGGTCAAATAGATGCCCAGTCTAATTTTGAAAAACTCCTGTGATGGACAACCCACAACGCCGAAAGGCAAGCTATTCCATTGATTGTTCATTATTGACCAGTTAATTGAAGATTCATTAGTTGATTAATCAAACATTATTGATTGGTTTCAAAACCAATTTTCTTTGCTCGCTACTGTGGTCTAGATTTGACCAGCTTACTTTCTGTGCAGGAAACACCAGCTGCATAGCGTCCGCCTCCCTTGGGACAAGAGACCTTGGCATCATGAGGGCAGTGAGACAAAGCCATTTCTGTCCCAGAGCATTTCATCCCACTCATGACCACGTTGTCTGCATCAGTGTCTCTATACCAATACCAGGTCTCCTAGAAAGAAATACACACACACAAAAAAGGGCAGGTGATTAAGTATAGATGTTTTGTAGTATGTTTTAAACCTCCTTTCCCACTTCAGTAACCTCTGAATTTTAGATAAGCTATCAGATCGCTTAGGGGAATTCTTGATTTAAAGGCCGGGATTCAAATTCAAATTCAAATTTAATTCAAATTCAGGTTTGCTGTCTACTTTGTAGCAGGCAATCCCTTCCTTCCTTTACTGATGTATAGTCTTTACTGATGTGTAAGACCAAAAAACGTGAAGTAATCATCAGTAAAACAAATGCAAGCAATGTAAAGCACCGTACAAGACGTAATAAAACAAAGGAAATTGAAGCAAATGTTCCAGCACAGTTCAGTTTGCCATGCAAACCTCTAAAGTAAAACCTAAACCTCAAACCTTGTAATGCTTAGCCATAATGATGGAGCAGAACTTGGCAGTGTTCCTGGAAATCTTCAATAAAAGGTCTGAATGTATAACGTGAGCAATTTCTAGGTTCTGGCCAAACAACACAGCCAGTAAGAAGTGGATATATGAAGGCTGCAAGCCAAGAATCATAAAGAGGCAGCAGAGTAAAAATGTGAGCAACTGACTCGGTAGCACATTCTGGACAAGGGTAACAGAACTCACAACGTGGAATATTGTCAAAACCTTCCCTCCAGCTGGCAGGGTTTCTTTTTATCAGTAAGTTATCCCAGCAATTGTAATGGTCCCCTGACATACTGATAAAAAGTTCAGGAGATAATTCTGTGAACAGTCACCTGCAAGCTGCTCCATTACATGAGTCTCTGTGGCGCAGTGGTTAGAATGCAAGCTGCTTCTGCAGCCAGATGCCTATAATTTGGCAGGTCAAATCCCACCAGGCTCAAGGTTGACTCAGCCTTCCAGCCTTCTGAGGTGGGTAAAATGAGGACCCAGATTGTTGGGGACAAAGGGCCAACTCTGTGTAAACCGCTTAGAGAGGGCCATAAAACACTATAAAGTGGTACATAAGTCTAAGTGCTATTGCTATTATCAAAGGAAAGAAATGTTTCCTTGTCAGTTGGAAAGAAGTATCTTAGATGGAAACACAGAAAGTGCCCTAATGCAGGAGTGTCAAACTCAAGGCCTGTGGATTTGGCCCACGGGGTGCTTAGATCTGGCCAGTAGAGCCGCTCTGGAAACAGCAAAGGCCCGGCCTGCGGTGCCTCTGCTGGAGAAGATGGAGCTCAAAAGGCTCCCTTTTCGCTGGCAGAGGGCTAGCAAAACAAACTAAAAACAAAACAAAAGCAGAAATGTTTCCCCTTTTGCATTTGAGCATGCAAGAAAGGGAAAGAGGAAAGGCAAAGAAAAAGAAGGGAAGAGAGCAAGGAAGGAAAAGGAAGGAACGAGGGGAAGGAAGAAGAAAGGAGAAGGAGAGAAGGAAAAGAAGAGGTAAGTAGGTAGGAAGGAAAGAGATTATAATGAGTGAGTGAGGGTGTCAGGGAAGTCCTGCCTTAGCACTTAACCACCACAGGTGCCCTCAACATGAGTGACATCGAGCTGGCCACCATGGCCACGCCCACCATGGCCATGCCCACCACCCCTCCAAGGTCAAACACAACCCTGATGCATTGGGGAATAAATTGGTTCTAAATTGGGAATAGTGCGGCTGCTGACATTCTTGCAACTTTGTCCCTTTCATCTCAATAAATCTTGTTAAAGAAGTCTCGGTGAATATACGACCTAAAAGGATTGGCTGAACAACAACGGAGAAGCAAAGCAGAATGTCTTTTGACCAAGGTAGACTCTGGTTCTTTGGGAATATCTTATGAGAAAAGTGATGCTCAGAATCCAAACCATGGTTTAGCTGTTTAGAAAGTTATACTATGCTCCCCAAGATTCCAGCTGGTTAGTGCAATATTTGAATCAGGGTACGAAAAATTTGATGGAGGGATGCGCTTGGTTTTTGAGGCTTGGCATAAGTAATATGATTCTTATGCCAATAATTTGATCTATTGAAAATGACTACTTAGCCAGGTTCTAGACTATTGTTTTACTTCAAATTATCAATCATATCATCAGCTGGATAGGATAGGAAGCCAAGATGACTTGATTCATCATTGCAATAACATTTGGCAGCCAGGAAGTTTTTCTGATCGGCTAAAGAACCATAAAATTGGGTTCAACAGAACTGAAAATTGTTCCTAGAATAGCTTATAAATTCCTTCCCTGTCTTGCTGATGTATTTACAACACACACTTTATGCAAGATTCAACCCAATTTAAAAGACTTCCAGGACCTAAAAGAAGGACCAATCGGCTTTTCCAGAAATGGAAGCTACTGAAAAACATGGGGTGTTTTAGATTGGCCATCTTAAATGAAATAAATTCCTCGTTCATTCAATCGATCAGTCAATCAATCTAACAAAAAGACCCAAGCTTGACTCTTGCTATCTCACTTCAAGGCAAGGCAATGGCAGACACCCGTCACACTCTGCTGTTTGCATCTATTGTGGGAACTTTTCAATTTCATTGTAGACATGTTGTGCATTGACAATCAATGTTTGATTTGATTTGAACCCAGCTTAAGGATGGGCCACGTAACACATACATGTTAGACTTCACGTGGCCAAGAAAAAAGGGGGAACCTGTTGCCAGTCCAATAGTCCAGACACAGACATCCAGAATCATTTGTGAATGCGCCCAAACAGATATTTTATTGATGATCACCTATATTACAAGAATCTTGTCGGACATTCTGCCTTCCCTTGGGAAATGGCAGGTGTAGACCTAGAGCAGTGATGGCGAACCATTTTGTTTGTGGTGTGTTGAAAATGCATGTGCCGGCACCCACAATGCAATGCACCCAGACCCCCTGCACATGCACGCAGAACACCCCCCTTGCCTGAACTGCGCATGCGCGTGCTTCCCAAGTGATTTTCGGCCCTTTTGAGACCTTTTTTTGCCCTCCTGGAGACTCGAGGGAAGCCTCTGCAGTCTCAGGAGGCTGAAAAACTGCCTCAAACTGGCCGAAAATCACCTGGGAGGAGCACGCATGTGCAGTGCAGGAAAGTTTGGCTGGGACTCATGTGCCCGCACAAATGGCTCTGCGTGCCACACATACCATAGGTTCACCATCACAGACCTAGAGGGTTTGATCTCAGGTGTTTCCTCCTCTGAATGAACTCAGCTGGAGCATCTCTTTGCTCCCCCTGATGGAGCTCTCTCCCTTTCAACTGGTGGTCCCACCCCAGATAACTTAATAAGTGATCAAGCTCCCCACCTTTAGATCTAACCAATAGAACAGTTAATGGACTGGAACTTCCGGTTTGTCGGCTTCGCTAGCGGCAGGGATTTGCGATCCTGCGCGATCCCTGCCGCGCTAGCCGCTTTGGTGTCTCCGATCCGCGGATCTGGAGGCTGGGGCTGCCATGAAGAGGCAGCCAAAGATAAGGGGGAGCTGGTAAGGGGTTTGGGGGTGTTGCAGACCCCCTTCCCAGCCGGCAAAACTCCCTTTTCCCAAGATGGTCGAGCAGCGGTCTGTAATGGCCGCCTCAAAGAAGCTGGCAGCTGGGCAAGATTGAGCAGGAGGAAGAGAGGAGAAAGTTGTCAAGAGAAAGTTTTTTTTGGCTGACCCAGGATTTTAAGAGGCGTTTAATCCTGAGAACTATGGTTTTTTGAACAACACTTCGTTTCCAGAGGAGGATTACAAGCGGCAAAATTGAGTGCTGAAAGGGAAAGTTCACTCTCCTTCCTTATGGAATCAACAAATGGCCATTGAGAAACCTGTTGTTTTTTTATAAAAGGTAAAACTTGGCTTCTTGTTTTAAGTGGGAAGGAAGAGGACAAATATATATATATATATATAAAATTAAGATTTTGTTGGAGGGGATGCCTTGAAGATTTTGAGACCAGAAATTAATTGCAATAAGGCTTTAAAGTATAAATTGGAGGTTTTTTCCTCTCCCTTTGATACCTCCCCAGGAAGAGAAAGTGAGAACTTTGTTTATTGTTTGGACTGATTGACTCTCTCTGGAACTTTGGGGAATTGCTCTAATTTTTGAAACATTTTGGTTGCTTTAAGAAGAAGAATAAAGAATGGCTTTATCTGTTGATGAACTTAGAGAATATGAAGAAAGAAAGGACGCTGTGAAAGAAGCCTTTCTCTTTTTAGAAATGGCGCTTGTTAATTATCAAATACAACAACAGATGAAGGAAATGGAAGGAGAAGAAGAAGAAGAAGACGCCATCTTCAATGAATCTAAAAATTTAGTTAAGAGAGAAAGGAGAAAGAAAGGAAGGAAAATGAAGGATTTAAGACTTAAAAAAATACTTAAGAAAGGAAAAAATAAGATGCAAAACCAATTCAATTTTAATGTTATTGAGCAAAAGGAGAAAGGAATACAACAGAGAGGGGAAGTTAAAGGGGGAGGGGAAAAGGTTAGGTGGGATAAGAAAGGAAGGGAAAAGGGAGGGAAAAGCCACAAAGGTATAAAACAAGATGGGAAAAAAGGAATTTTGTTTAGGGATAAAGGGTAATGTATAATTTCTTTAAAAAAGAAGATTCTGCAAGGTACATAAGATGGTATTGTAGTATTCGTATTAGAAATAGAAAACTAGAATGTTATAAGAATTAACAAAAGATTAAAATATTGCAATGTTTAGTAATGATAGATTTTAAAATTTAATAAAAGATTAAAAGGAATGTTTAAAATATTGAGTTTAATTAAAAAGTTTAATTTACTGTTGTTTTGATATTATTATAAACTCATTATTGTAGCACTTGCTTCTTGAAATAGACAATTGGAATGTTATAAGATTTAAAATTTAGATTTATTATTTAATTATATTAATTATTATGGATTTATTATTTTCTCTCTTTAGAGGTTAGTAAATTGAATGTACTAAGCAGAATCAGATTGGGAATTTTAAATATTTTTAGGGGGAGGATAGAAAGGCATCATACCTTGATCAGTGATTTCAGGAGAAATTCTTTTTTTTTTAATTTGCTCTAGGGAATGAGATAAATG